CATTCACGTGGTAAGTCAATTAAGGCTGACATTGATGACCTCCCAACCTAAGCAGACTCCTTCGTTGCATTTAATTTAGCAAGTAGGAAGACACTTTCACGTAAAGTACATTTCATTACCATTTCCATCATTCAACATGCAAGTCTGGCCAAGTCAGCCACTAAAGTATGCTAACCCACAAAAGTCTTTCACACTCTTTCGAGTTTATCATTTCAATCTTTTTCTTGCTCACAAAATGATGATATTCAAATGGCTTCTTACTTCATGTGATTGTAAATATTTACACTCTTTTCCAATCTCAAGTATTTTTGCTTTTAATTACAATTTCAGTTCATTCAGTTCAGCCAGTTTATTCACTTGTCCTATCAACTGATCGACTTGGTTAGATGGTGATTATTCAGTTTCAATCTTTCTTGTTGGTAATATTACTTCTTGACAAATGATTATTGTAACTATTTATGTCCATCAGAATGGTTAGTTAATGTTTCTGTTACTTGACCAAGGTAAATAATGATAATAATAATAATAAAGCCGTTTAGATTGATTAATTTTGATTTTGGGTTAGAGTTACTCGAAATCTGATGATTGACATAATGGTAATACCAGTGTTATTAGATGATATTATGTGCTGTTGAGAGTTGCAGTTAATTGATCAACGCTGTTATTAACTTTTTTTGCTTCTTCATTTGATTCTTTTGCTGTTGCAAGTATCTCAATCAAATTAACCTTGTTACTGATTGCTTTTGAGTTGCAATTGCTAATGATGGTGAATATGATGATAATGGGGTAAGAATATAATGTGAAACAACAGAAAATATTTTTCCCTGCAATCTGATTACTTGATAACTCGATCAAAATGATCACTGATGATGAAAAGGGAAATGAAAATGAAAACCTGTTACAAGTTGCATTTAACTCCAAGCATTAGTTTTTACACTTATCTTTACCATTGAAAGATTTTTAAGCTTCGGATTCAACTAGTGTTTGCTTTGAATGGTAAATTAATGTGAGAATAAATTTGAGGTTCAAATTGGCAGATAATGATGATGAGGGTTATGATGATGGTTTATCATCATCTTTATGGAAATCTTAATTGTATGGATATTGTTGTGGTGATGATATGAATGGCTGAATAATTGGGAGAACTGTAAAGAGAAAGGAATAAAGATGATAACGAGGGAAGAGGAAAAGGAAAAAGAAAAGCAATTTAAAGAGAGAAAGTTGGTCTTGTAATTATTATCAGTCTGACAATCATCTTTAACCATCATTAACTGAACACACGGGGCATCATCATTATCATCATTCAATGGCTACCAATGAATCCAAATGGATTTGGGCCTGAAACTATCACAACTGTATAATAATAAGTATAAATGGTTGCGATAATAAAAAGAGTAACTTATTAAAAAAAGCGAAGGGAAAACATTATTTGTTAGTGAAAATAGCAATAAATGGGAAATAAACCATTGAAGGAAATAGGAAATGTTGAAGGTTTCATCAGGCGAGAAAATGAAATGTTGGTAAAGATGAGGACCAGAATTGGGAATGATGATAAGGATAAAGATTGTTGAATAGATAAATAGATGTTGGGAGGTTTAAATAGGAATGTTAAGGGAGTTAAGATGAAGATGGAGAGATGGTATATAAATCGCACTTGAAAATGGTTAAAACAGACAAGTAAAGTGTTGCTTTATGTGTGTGGCCATTTTACGGTTTGATGATCAAGAAGATGATAATGAAGCTGATGATTATGAATAAGATTTTGTACATTGATAAACGTGGAAATCATCTTTTAATCTGAATGGAGTGATCAAGTTTACAATTTAAAAGCATAACCAAGTTCAATAGGCTGATGTGAAATTTGCTGTGAAAAATATATTTTACCGTAAAATGGCTTGTCTGTTAGCGAGATTTGATGGGACGAGAGTGACTTGCTTAGGTTGACAAATTTTGTAAAAGACTGGCTCTGACTGTTTCTTTGCTGATAATGTTGATGAGGAAATTATTCAAATGAAGGTTTTTTTAACATGAAAAGTCTTGTTTTATGTGATCGAGAATCATTTTGTTGGGTTTAAGGATTTAATTTGATGGGCCAAATGTTCACTGACTATTTCATGGTTTGGTGGGAAGATTTCAAGTAGACTCATCTTGGCCCACTTGTCTTGTTTTATTTAGTTGAAGATGAAAAATGGTTGTGAGGTAAATGAGAAAAATTGTTTCAATGGATTTCACTATTTACAATATTGATGAAGTATATAATCATCATGTTGGCTGTAATCAAACACTGATGGCTACTTTTCCATTGATGGGTGAAAGAGTGGTGATGAGTATAAAGTGATCAACATGAGGGACCAACATTGTCATCATTAATACTCTGTTTCTTTCAAGCAATTACAATTTGGTCAGCAATTTATCTTCTTTTCTTTACCCTTGAAACATCTTCCATCAGTTGGACACATTTCTGTATCTTTATTTATTCATCTTTTAATTTGTTCAATTAATGTCCATTGACTGTCTAAATGTTTACTTTAAATTGCTGTCTTTGACTGACATTGAAAATTAAACTGCTCGTTGAATAGTGAAAATAAGCTATTTTACGGTGACCGATAGATTTAGTTTTTGTCTGCTTTCACTATCAACAGATTCAGATAAATTATTGTTTTTGATCAACTCAAAAATGTCAACTCTAATTGTATTGTCATTTCAAGTTAACTTTTTTTATCCTCAACAGTTATTTTGACTCATTTTTTTCTTCATTTTACGTCAATCAATTAAATATTACCTTTTGCATTTGAGTTTATGTGATGGGAATATAAAATATTAACCAGTAAATTGAATGTGATTGTTGTTTCATTTTTTTCTGGTAAAATTGCTTTGAAATATTAAATGTAATTTACTTTTGAATTTTTTTTTCTATCATTCTGTGAATTATGTGATTATTTAAAGTGGAAATTATTGGCTTATTGGATTAATTTATGAATTTTTTTTGTTGCTCATTTCTTATTATTTAACCTGAAAAGTATTTCATTTTATATTATTAAATAAATTCAAAAATGCAATCTGAAAACTGAAAGGAAAAGGCTGTGGAAATAAGTTGCTATGGTTATTTGTCGAGTCTTTTCTGTGTAATTAGATCTCAAATCTACCGCTGAATCTGTTTATTTTGGTCAAATCTGGTTTCAACTTTTTGTTTTAATTTAACTTGTTCAAATTGCCTTTATTTCATAATGACATCAACTATAACTGCCCCCATAGACGATAAAAATGATGATAAACCAGTGGATCGAGAAAAGGTAATGTAAAAATTGTCATTTAGCCTTTAGACCAACCGATAAATTGGATTGTTTATTTTTAAACCTCGGTCCTCTTACATTGTGGCTCTTTTTTATAATCTCTTAGTTTAATTGTGGGTCTTTAGGTTGTGTCTAATCTCTTCACTGCTTACCTTAATTTGTATATTAATTAGTATATTTTTGCTAATTTTGCTATTTTTCTTGTTTTCAAATATGCAGACTTGTCCTCTCTTACTTCGAGTGTTCCTCAGCAATGGTCGTCATCATTCACCAATAGAGTATAATCGAGGAAATGTACCTTCGAATGAACTACAAATCTATACATGGATGGATGCTAGTTTAAAAGAATTGACCAATTTGGTTAAAGAAGTCAATCCTGATGCAAGACGCAAAGGAACTTATTTTGATTTTGCTTTAGTTTTTCCTGATCTCCGTACTCCTGGTTATCGTATGAGAGATATTGGTTCAACATGTTCGGGTCAAAAGGGTGTAGATGATACAAAGACATTAGCTCAATCAAGATTTCAAATTGTGACTATTTGGATATTGCCATATTTCCTCC